TCCTTGCTGCCCAGTTTTGTGAAAGGTAGACTTTAACTCACCCTTTGCTCTTCCATCCCATTTCATGAGGTCTTTACCTGTCCTACATCCATAACATTTGCAAAAGAAATGAGAGCAGACCTTAAGAGTTTGAAGTGGGAGAGATGGAAAAGAGGACTCAGCTGCCCGGAGCAGTAGAAAGCTCTTAAAGGATTTTTCTTCTTTTTTCTTTCTGGGTGCTTTCCTGAGTCATCCAGCTAAATTGACTCACCCTGCACCTGCAGTCACTTGGTCCCATTCAAGGGAGCACGGGCACAGACAGTGGCAAGGAGCAGGACTCCCCTTTCAAAGGCTCCTCACTGCTAAGTGAGCATAACAGCAGCATGAAGTTGCTACTCCCCATGCCTGTGTCACCTCACTTCCTTAACTAAAAAAAAAGGCAAACAAAACAAAAAGAGGACATAAAAACATTCACTTTCTCCTGGGTTTTGTCCTTTTCCATTTTGTAACTGGGAAAAGAGAACCAAAGAGAATGCCAGTGTCACTGCTTTTTGTGGTCACTTGGTAAGCCACTTGTTAGGCAGGAGTGTGACATGGGGTGATGCACAGGGTCCAGCTTCCTACCCAAAAGGTCAAGAAAACCTGGAGATGTTTTTTCCAAGGTTTCAAAAATGGAATATAATAACTTTTTTCTTCCTGAGGATACTAAATTCCTATAAAAGACAGAAATAATAGTTACAGTATTTCGGCCCAATTTTAGAGATGGGGAAACTGAGGCAAAACTTTCGATCTACACAAAATCCCACAAGCAACCCACGTCAGATGCACACCCTTATCCCTCTCTTCTGTTCCCTCATGTCACGCTTTGAAACAGTTGTGAACTCATTTCATCTGAATAAGGATGTCAGGAGACATTGGTCTGGCTTCTAAGTGGCACCAGCGAGCACATATTTGAAATCAGAAAACACAAGGAGCACAAAACAGTCAACCACCAACACAGGCCGAACTCCTTTTTTACAGTACAATTATCTTCATTTTTTTTAAATTACTGTTTTTTTAAAAAGTCCTAATTCTGAGAGTGTGTCCCCCCCAACACTTTAACCTGTACTACCCAAGCTGCTGTCTGCAAGGTACTAGTGATAAACAGCCAGGCAAATGGCTGTGTCTGTATGACTAATTCAATCATCTGAGCAGAGGACACTTCTCCAGCCCTGAGGGCACCAAGCTGGCTTGCATCCATACAGCTAAACTCCATTCAGGATGGCATCATCCAGCTCTGCCCTGGGACTCATCCCTGGCTCCAGCTCTGACTCAGGCTAAAAGTTTCATGTAAAGACATGAGAGTTGAGAAAATTGTGCTCCGGTGCCCAGGAACATCACCATTTGTTTCAGAGATACGGCTTGGGTTTTCTATCACCCCAAATTAGCACATGTCCAGCAGCCACCAAATGCTCCAGGACCTGCTACGTGACCCAGACTGGCAGGACCATGGATTTACTGTGGATTTCTGTAGGCATCAGTGCTGCTGGTTATAACCACAGCCCAATCCAGGCAGCCTGCTAACTGCTACAAAGCACCCAGGAACAGGCAGTCCAGCCATCCCCTGGGAGCTGGAGACTCACAAGGAGACTCTCAGCCACATGGAGGAAACAATTTTCTTGGACTCACTGGGTGGAGACCCCCTCCACTGTGTCTAGCAGAGGATGCAGACCTGGGCTCTGCCACTGTCTCACCAAACGTCCCCTTTCAAGTCACCTCACTGCATTTCCCATTTGCAAAGTGTTTTGAGATCCACAGACAAAAAAGTCATGGAAGAGGAGAAGAGGATGACTTTTCTTGCTTGCACAACTCTAAGGGGGGTCAGCCACACGAACGGAGAGTGAAAGCATCCACAGTGAGGGCTGGGAGGTACGTAATGGGGACTTCTAATGCAAAGCAGGGAAGTTCAGCTGCCTAAACATAACAATTGAAAAAAGAGAAACTAATGTAAATCAAAAGCTGTTTCCAGCCTGCTGCAGCGTGGGCACTGCATTTCCCTAAAACAACCCCCAGCCACCAAACATAGGCATCCTCCAAAGCGAACGGGCGAGCAGCATCCCCACTGAGGACTACAGCTCCCAGGAGCCTGCAGCCCAGGCAGCACCTGTACGGGGACCAGGCGCTGGGCAGCCAGGCAGGGGTACCAGCAGGGAGGCAGCGCTGGCTGGGGATCCCCCCAGCCATGCCCGAGAGGTTTTAGGGCTGCTATTTCCTACCCCCAAGCCCCTTCCCTCCCTGACCCAGCTCCTCTTTCTCTGTCTCTCCTCCCCCGGTAGTTTTTACATCACTGACACAGACTTCCTGTGAGTCAGCACCAGCGGACATGAACGAAGTAGCTGGAAGACGAAGAAGAGCTCAAAGTGGGTAGAAATAAGAAAATTTGGCCAGTGACACTTGGACACTTCCAGACCCACTGAGGGAGATGGGAGACAGGTCAGTAAACGGCTGAGCTGGGATGTCTGGGGCCAGGACGGGATGCTCAGGGCTGAACCCCTCCATGGTGTCTGCATGTGTCCCGCAGCATCCCAGGGCAGCAGCAGGACATCTCTGGAAGTTGGGGTCGCCGCTGTGAAGCCGGAGTGTTTCTCAAGGTTGGCTGTGGTGGAGCAAACTGCCCTGGCTGGGATAAATCGCCTTGCTTGTCTTTCTCAGGCTGAATCCTGCCTGAGAGATCTGGCTTGCTCCCCTGGCTGGAGGTGACCGGTGGAGTCAGAGGTACAGCTAGTCCTGCTCGGCGTGGGAGCAGGCGGCTTGGCTAAAACGCAGGGAGCAGGAACAGCAGCACAACACGGGAAGGGGCGTCCATCCTTTAAAATCTGCCCAAAAACGATGTTTCTGGGGCATCTGTGTGACAAGTGCTTGCAGGAGTGCTGGAGGAATGGGTGGGAATGAGTTAATAGGTCCAGCCTCTGCCTTGCAAGGAGGAGCTGTGCCTGCCTATGCCTGTGCCTGTGTGTGTCTGTGTGTGTGTGTGCTGGTGTGTGGGGAGGTTCCCAGTGAAAGGAGCAGAGCAACAGCTGAGGAGCTGCTCACATTCATGTGTTTCACAAGTGAAATTCAGGCAGCTGTGCTGACATGCAGCCACCTCCGGGAAAAACAGCCCAGCGCATGAAACAGCCAGAGAGAAAAGTTTGCCCGGAGTCATCTCTGGGCTCGGAAAAGTTGGTCGCCACAGAGAATAAAAGCAACCTCCGTTTCTCAGCCTGAAAGGTCCCCAGAGAACAATCTCACCCAACACCTTTCTCTTGGTGAGAAAGGAGCAGAGGTGCTGGAAATGCCGCGGATGGTCCCCAGAGAACAATCTCACCCAACACCCATCCTTTCTCTTGGTGAGAAAGGAGCAGAGGTGCTGGAAATGCCGCGGATGCCTGCTGGGATGGCTGGATCGGGGTTCCCTTTGCTCAGCTGAGGGGTCGGGCAGGGGCTGCTCAGGACGTCTCATCACTTTGGGGCACTTGGGAGTTAAGGAGCAGGGGAGCAGAGAGTTTTGGCTGGCTGGACCATTGTCAGGGACCCCTCCCCAGGAGCTGCCCCAGATAAGTTCTTGGGGCAGTTTGGTGCTGGTTCTCCCATGAAGAAAGTCTATGGCAAATGGGGTGCTTCTTCAGCCTGGACTTTTCATGCAGATGGGCCAACGATGCTGGTGGTGTTGTGGCTGCACCCTTCATGGGTCAGGCGTGACAACCTGCAAATTGAAGCTGGCACCAAGGCAAAGCTTCAGCAGTCCAACCGCAGGGCAAGGGGACGGGGGAAGGAGTTGGGTCCTTGCTGTCTTCCTGGACACCAGGAGGACTTCTCCATCCATTCGGATGTCTTCCTGGCCACCAGCCCCAGCAGCTTTGCACAGGCTCTGGTGTCTGCCCTGGTGCTGCATGGGGAACTGAGGACATCGGTGTGAGTTTCACTTCTGCCTTCAGCCTGTCTGGCTGCAGCTGTGACCCAGATGTCCCTGTCTGCTTACCGAGGTGGACATGACACAAAATCTCTAGAGAAATAAATGAGCACCTGCTGAGGGATGGGACCCCCATGGGGTTTGCACAGCCAGATAAGCCTCAGACAATGCTTGAGCAGTTCTGTTTCACAGATGTGAGATTTCGGTGCTGTCTGGAGGCTGGGGAGTGCAACGTGATATGTCCCAGAGACAAACAGCCATTTGCTCATCAACATTTCCCCTTGTTGTCCCAGAAGGTCCCTCTCTGCCAGTGCACTGAAGGAGGCGCAGATGGTCTCAGTGACCACGCTTCACATGGGACGTGTCTGGCCCTGGCCCTGGCCCCGGTCCCTGGTCTGGTCATCCTGGATCAGAGCAGGGATTGCACCACCCCAGGGATCCTCCAGAACTGGGTCTGGGTGTGCCCCTCCCCAAGAGGAATTTACTTCTAGAGGTGCTGATGACCGTGAGTTGGTGCCTGATGGTTATGACCACCAGCCTTTACCACCCCCTGAAGGAAAAGTGGTGTTGGTTCCTGCTTAGAGATCAGTACAGCAGGAGGAGCCCCCCCAAACCATCAGTTTCTTGTCATGAGTACCTGGAGACGTGGAGAAACTCCAGCCTGTGCCAGGCAGTTCCACCAACCCCCTTCAACCCCTTCCTAGATTTTATAGTCTCTTGGCCTTTGGTTTTACTAGAATTAACTAAGGTTGGCTGGGCTTTTATTTATGATTTTCTTTTCCACATGACAGCTTACCACAGTAAAAGTGCTTTGTTTGTTGTTGGTTTTTTTCCTGTTGGCCTTGACAATAACACCTGCCTTGGTTTCTTCTCAGGTTCAGCCCTCATGAAGGAAACTATAGTCTTTCATCTAAAGAAGAGTAACTCAAGCCGGTGCTGGCACTTTCCCATGGTCACTACCTCCCAGCAGCCCAGGCAGGCAGGGAAAGCTGGTGGCAATGGCCAGGAGGACTCCCAGCGATGCCTCTCCTAGTGAACACCACCCAGGCCCCCACCTCTGAAGAACCAGGTGGTGGAACAGCCAGCCATGATGGCACTGGAGCTCTTGGAGGTAGAGAATTTTCTCAGCCACACTCAGGAGAAGTCATACACTTGCATGATTTGTGGGGACAGTTTTAAGCAAAAGGGCATCCTGGTGGCCCACCAGAAATCCCATAAGGAGGAGATAGAGGTTGAAGGCTGTGAGAAGGAGGGCGATGCTGACCGGGCTGGAGAGCTGCATGACCAAGAAGCCATCAGAGCAGGTGGGAAGGCCAATGGGGAAGGCCATAGCAAGCACAGCACACAGAGTGATCCTGAGAGAAGGGAGAAGCCCCATGCCTGCACCGAGTGCGGGAAGAGCTTCAAGATGAAGGTGGACCTCACCAAGCACCTTCGGACTCACACAGGTGAGAGACCGTTCCCCTGCACCGACTGTGGCAAGAGGTTCATAACCAAATCACAACTCAAGGAGCACCAGAGGATCCACACAGGCGAGCGGCCATACAAGTGCCTGGACTGTGGGAAGAACTTCACCCAGAAATCACAGCTCATCGTGCACCGCCGGATCCACACGGGTGAGAAGCCCTACCAATGCAGAGGCTGCCAGAAGAGCTTCGTGGACAAGTCGCAGCTGGTGGCCCACCACCGGATCCACACAGGTGACCGTCCCTTCAAGTGTGGGGTGTGCAGCCGTGGCTTCCGCCAGAAGATCACCCTCATCAAGCACCAGCGGGTCCACAGCACCAAGGGGGCCCAGCGGGACAGCACCAGGGCCATCATGGCCGAATCCACTCCAGCAGGGGAGAAGATCTTCCGCTGCGGCTCCTGCGGGAAGGAGTTCAAGAAGAAGTCAGTGCTGGTGACCCACCAGAGGATTCACACTGGGGAGGAGCCCTACCCCTGCCCTGCATGTGGGCGGTGCTTCCGGCAGAAGATCCACCTCGCCCGGCATCAGCGGATCCATGAGCGGCCCAATGCCCACGTCTGCGGAGCCTGTGGGGACCACTTTGGCAGCAAGAGGGAGATGCTGCGGCACCACCAGGACTGCCATCCCCCGCAGGCCCCCCACACCTGCACCACCTGTGGAAAGCGCTTCAGCCAGAAGGTCGGCCTCATGGCCCACGGCCGTGTCCATGCGCGGGAGAAGGAAACCGCCAGTGCCGTAGGGGGTGGGCAGCCTCTCACCACCCTTGGTGGTACCCACGCCTGTGGGCAGTGTGGGAAGACGTTCACCAAGAAGGGCAACCTGGCCAACCACCAGCGGGCTCATGCCGAGGGCCGGGGTCACCACTGCGGGGCTTGCGGCAAGGGCTTCGCCAAGCGGGGGGAGCTGACCAAGCATGAGCGGACCCACACCGGGGAGAAGCCCTATGGGTGTGGGCAGTGCGGCAAACGCTTCGCCCAGCGCACCCAGCTGGTCACCCACCAGCGCGTCCACACCGGTGAGCGGCCCTACCCCTGCGATGACTGTGGCAAGCGCTTTGGCGACAAGTCACGCCTCACTGTCCACCAGCGCATCCACACCGGCGACCGGCCCTTCCGCTGCCCCACCTGTGGCAAGGGCTTCCGCCAGAAGATCGCCTTGGTCAAGCACCACCGCGTCCATGAGCGTGGCAGGGACAAGGGAGGCAGTGAAGACACCAGTGCCAACACCAGTGCCAACGCTGACACCAATGCCAATGGCGATGGCAATGCCAACGCCAACACCAACACCAATGCCAGTATCAAGACCAATGCCAATGTCAATGCCAATGCCAAGGTGGCTGGCAAAGATGAGGAGAGCCCGGCTGTCCCCTGTAGGCGGCTCTCCGTTGGCGAGCGGCCCTTCTCCTGCAGCAAGTGTGGGAAGGGCTTTGCCCAGAAGGCCCAGCTGGCAGTCCACCACCGCATCCACACCGGGGAGCGCCCTTTCCTCTGCGCCGACTGCCCCAAAGCCTTCATCGACAAGTCCTGCCTCATCGTCCACCGCCGCACCCACACTGGCGAGCGTCCCTTCCCCTGTGCTGCCTGCGGCCGAGCCTTCACCCAGAAGGTCGCCCTCACCACCCACCAGCGGGTCCACATGCGGGAGCACCAGCCACCGCCAGCCCCAGTTCCCCTCAGACCCCAGGGTGAGGAGTGGCCCTTCACCTGTGTCGTCTGCGGGAGAGGTTTCCGCAAGGAGATCGCCCTTATCACCCACCGGCGGGTCCACACCAAGTATGAGCCCAACCGCTGCAGCAAGTGTGAGCAGGTCTTCCCCAACAGGGCCCAGCTCTGGCTCCACCAGCCCTCCCATGCTGAGGACCGGCCATTCAAGTGTGCCACGTGCGGGAAGGACTTCAAGAGGAAAGAGATCTTGATTACCCACCAGCGGGTCCACACGGGAGAAGCGCCCTTCCAGTGCCCCCAGTGCAGCAAAAGCTTCTCACAGAAGGCCAACCTCATGAAGCACCAGCTCACTCACACCCGCCGGGGCCCGTTTATCTGCTCTGACTGTGGGCAAAGCTACACCACCATCGGACATTTCAAGAGGCACCAGAGGAGGAACCACCTCAAGAAGCAATGTCTTCCTGGTGAGGGAGAGGAGCCCCCTGAGGACCTGGTGACCGGCCGTGTGCCACCGGAGCCAGTGGGTGGCCACAGCAGCCCCATCATCGTGGTGAAGACAGAGGCTGATGCTGATGACTATGAGGTCCTACAGGTCCCATGATGGCAAGGATCAAGCACTCAGGGAGGGAAGGGATGATGCCTGCTCACTTGGGGATGGGGATGCTGCGTCCACCACCAAGGTCCACGGTCCCATGGAAGCTGCTCCCCTGGGAACATCTCACAGTATTTGGTGGGAGCCAGGAGTGCAAAAACCTGGGAGGATCTGGACTTCAGCACACAGCAATCCCTGAATCAAACCTCAGTCAAAACTGGCTGACACAATGTGAAATTTGGGGGCAAGGGAGGGATATAAATACATATTTTGGCTTCTTTTTTATATCTTATATAAGAATCCTCATTTCAAGAGGGGTTGTTTTTTTTTTTATAACAGGAGGGCTGAGAAGCTCAGTTTTTTAAAGCAAGTAAATGAAATCTGTGATTTCAGATATTTTTACATGACTCCAAGAGCTGGAGTTTTAAAAAAAAAAAAAGGACGAAAACTCTTACCAAACGTTATGATGCTTGCCATCGCCCTCTTCCTGGCAGGAGTCGGAGCAGAGCACCGTTGGTCCCTAGCCTTCCAGCAGTTGACACCAGCACCGGCCGTCCTGCAGACACGTGGAGCAGCGCGGGGTCTGCTACTGTGGAAAAACTGCAGCCAGAAATAAGGGAGGACGTCACGGCCAAAAGACTCGGGGATGGGGAACCCACTGGCACCTGGGGAAGGGCCACTGAGGTCAGTAACGCTCCTCGTGGAGGGCAAACACCCACCCACCCAGCCTAGTTTGCAGAGCCAGAGTAAGAGCCCTGGCTGGGAACTAACACCGGGTTTATATGAAGACGTCGTTTTTCCTAGTTTAAAATAACCTCATACATGGGTTGATTGTGCAGAATAATCCCTGGGCATATTTTTTATGGCGTTGAGGGCATTCGTTGCACAGCCACAGTTTCAGAGAAGCATTTGGGAGGTTGCCAGACCTGTTTCTTGCACCACATGCTCAGTTGCAATGCCAAGATGCGGCTCCTAAACCTGAAGACTGCCGGTCTGTGCCGTGTACAGCCGCACTGAGGTAGGGAGAAACCCTCTACAACTGTCCTCTGTGTCACACATTTGCAGTCGTGACCATAGCGTGGCACCAGCAAAAGGTCTGTTTAATTGCTCTGCCAAGAAAAGGAGGTGTTAGGTTGCTCCCAGCTCCCCACCAACCCGGGTGGAGTTGGGGCTTAGCAGAGGCTGTTCCCACCAGGGGTGAGGATGAGCCTCCCCACATCTGGCGTGGAGACTCCGGCCCTGTGGGCTGCGCTGTCCCATACGACCCCTCTGACCCAGCTTAGTGACGCGGAGGCCACCGCCAAGGTGCACCTCCAAGGCCACCTGGCCAAGCCAGCCTGCTGTTCAGAGTGGTTTTGGGGGAGAAGAAGGAAGGGCTTTGCTGGGCAATCACTTAACGTGCCACTTCAGACTTGCCGGGGGGTTCAGTTGCTTTTTCATCCTGGACGTTACTGCCAGAGGTCGCTTCAGCGACAGCAAGAAGGGGGTTCACCACCCCCTCCCCAGAGCTGGGTGCTCCCTGTGGCCAGAGCAGCACCCTCCACCCTCCCGCCCCCTCCTTAGCCGCCAGGTTTTGCCTTCGAGATTGCACGAAGGCGGCGAGGTGCAACACCATGTCCATACAATGCTAATGTTCAGTACCTGCACGTGCCTTTGGAGCTCAAGCAGCTCCCCCATTAAAATTACCCGGTGAGAAATGATCCCCCTCCCTCCGTGCTTTTAGCAGCGTTCACCGTTGCTGGATTCAGCGTGCGCCCTGCGCTCCATCCCCCAGGGCAGCCCCTGCTGCTCTACGTCCTGTCCATTAAATTAATATCCTGCCATTAACTATGGAAAAGAGCTCCGATGCCACGAAGCGATGGCAGGAGCCAAAGGAAGGATCAATACACCACTATTAGCTTGCAAAAACTGGGCCAGCTTGTCTTCAAACCCCGCGTTGTCAGCAGACGAGCCAAATGGACAGTTACACAAAATTAAGGGCCGTTTTCATTTTATTCTTTTTTTCCCCCAGTAGATCTGTTTGATTTCGAAGACTTCCTTCAGCATTTCTGTTGTTTTAATCGGCTTTTTTTCCCTGCGTTTGTTTCGCTGGCAGTAAATTCATCAGCCCTAAATAGGTAGACTGATAACAGACCATAATAGCACACTAAACTGTTACATGAAAAGCAGGGAATTAAATCATTCACTGGAAAACAGGCCATGGTGGAAGACTGCTGCTTCCTGAAAGCTTTGTATCCTTTTAAGCTTGCTTTTTTGTGCAAGATGTTCTTGCTCCAATAATCTTTGCACAGCTCTGCCCTATTTCTGCAAGCCAAAGAGACAGCGAGCTGGCGTGTAGGCTCAGCCCTCGCTGACCAGTTGCCCCCGCCTTGTCCCTTGTTTGGGGATTTTCTCTCAGGAATTAAATGGCAGTGAGGAATAAATTATCCAGCTCCCCTTTTCTAACTGATCCTGATTTCTTTAACTCATATTATGTCTTGCTAATAATCCCGCTGCACGTAAACAAACTCGAGCTGGGGATGATTGGAAAGCGGCTACGTACATCGCATGGCAAAACTTCTGCCCTGATTAGGTGACCGCTTTTCCAGCCAGGGGGATTATGAGTGATGAGTAACAGACCACGTTACCGGAGTACGGACACAAGAAGAAAAGGCTTTGCCTAAGCATCATTCAAATAAGACCCAGGAGGACAAACAGTAGAGCATGAGCACGGCCCAGCTGGACTCTCCTTTGGGGAACAGGAGCAGCTCTATGTTTAAGAGCTGTGGTTGGGCAGTTTTCCATTGGCTTTCTAGAAAAGTTTGACTGCTGTGGGGTGAATGAAGACGAATTCTTAGTCTAACGAAGTCTCTCACCTGCATATCATTTCAATGTCAAGTTAGAAAATAAAACAGATTGGGAATATACTTATTTTTCCCTATCTCAGTGGTTGCGGGTCCACCGTGCTCTGGGGCTGGCTTTATCTCACCTGAATTCATGTCTCTAGAGCACAGATGTAAACATCTGAGCTGGTCAACCCCCATTTAAAATCAAAGGAGAGAAACGGAGAGATGGAGAAGGTGATTTTTCTGCCCTATTTCGACGTCCACTCTGGGTTGAGACTCCAGGACTTCATTGACTCTACTGGCTACATCTCCGTGGGCTGCAAAGGGGATCCGGGCTCGGAGGGAGACGTCACCATCGGTTCATGGGGTTTTTAGCCCACAGCAGCAAATCTATTGGGGAAAAGAGCAGGGGCTGTAGGGACAGAGGCTGCAACGGCCAGCGGCTATTAGACATAATTGGCGCATGGAGTCAGCACTGCAGATGCCTCTGATGCAAAAACGTCCCAGCCCTTAACGATTTGTTCACTGCGCTGCGCCGTGCTGATAAAGCTCTGCCTGCAAACGGTCCCGGCTGCGTGTGGCTTCCCGAGGGAATGAGCTGGTGCAGACGGGGGTGTGGGAAGGCCGGTATAATCCACACAGAGGGAGATGATTATTTTGCAGGTATATTTTTTATTACTTTGTTTTTATTTATTGGTAGGCAGAAGGTAGCCATGCAGGAGATGGAGGAACTAGCGGGAGTTGTGAATGCCCACTGAAATATTAATATATGATCCAATGTTATTTGCTGTTCTTCCCTACTTTTCTTTTTACAAAGCAAAATAAATTACATTTTGCAATTGTCCTCCTTTTTAATATCACGTCCCAGCACACTTTTGCTGTATAGGATCCTCCAGCTATGAGATTCACCTCTTTCCCCTAGATTTTTTCTGTATTTCCTCTGATTTGCAGATAGTTTGCCTCTAATTTCTAATAAAAATCTGTACTAAAAAAAGCTGTGCTTCAGTGCTGTTGGATTCAAGTCATCCCGAATGGGATGGAGGTGGGGGAGGTAAGAGCTTGGGATGGGAGCATCCACCTGGGACCAGGACACGAGCATCCTCATCTCAGTTCAACCCTCCATCCCATGGCAGGTCTGAAGGGGGGATTGTGTGAGACTGCGGCTTTGCTGTAGGAATCACTGAGAAGGAACTTAACTTTCCAAGTCTCTCTATAAACATTTGGAAAAGTACATGCAAGGTCCTCACTCATCTTGGTGTAAATCAGTCTGCAAAAATCAGTCATAAACAGAGGCAAAATACAGGTGAAAACCGTGACGGATGAGAAATCTTGTCTCCAAGCCTCTGGTGCATCCTGGTTATCTCCTGCTCGGATCGTTACTGTTTGCTGGTGATCACAGTTTTGCAAACAGGAGCTCATCAATGGGGAATGAGCAGCAGGGCAGAAAACGAGAACGAGACCTCTCTTGTTCGCCTTCACCCCTTGCACCATGAGCATCCTAAAACCACTCTTCTCCGTGTCAGCCCAGTGCCATGCTTCCTGGGACACGAGAAGACCCTTTTTTAAGAAGCGGGAAGTAGACATGGTGCAAAAGATACGAACTACTTTTATTTAACAAATCCCATGCTGGTGCACTCAGCTAAGACGCTGGTCCCCAGGCACTCCTGTTCCCTTCCCGTGGTTTGCCCCAGACCTTAGTTTTGCTTTGTGGTTTGTGATGGCACCTGGGCTACACATTTGGGGACCTCTCTGAGTCAGACATGTGTCACAGGCCATTCGGTGACACAATGGGACGTTTCTTTCCAGTGTCCCTTAGCTATTTTCCGAGCAACTCTCTCTGACCAGTTGAACTGCCGGATCCTCCAACCTCCACCAATCCCCATTTCTGTTTGCACCAAACAGCCGGTCGAGAAAGTAGACTTGCTCCTTCCCTCCTACAGAGGGACATTTGTTATTCAGAACAAAATATTATGTTGCCGTGTTATTTAATCAAGTCAAAATTCATAGGCAGCATCTGTGCAGAAGATAAAATGTTTCGGGACAGTTTAGTCCTTTTCTTATCTGAGTGATTAAGGTTATGTAAAGACTTTTCTTTCAAACGCGGAGATGGAGTTTCATAAGCGAGGGACCAAAATAATGCCAAGTAGCCAACCATCTCCTCTTGATCACACTGGATTAGTACAA